CTATTTGCCGAGATGCGGATGTTGGCCAGTGTGTTTATTCCTCTTCCATTCTTTTCACTTCTCCCTCAGCGAGAGCCATGGGGGGTGAAATTGAATGATTCGTTGCTGTAAATGTAATGAAAGGAAAAGCTCACTGAACTGTTCTGAGGGATTTTCACGGTTTTGAAAGGAAATTCTAATGGGATGTGACTGAGAACAGTAACGAGGCTGGAATGGTTTAATGGCTGTTGCTGTTAGGAAATGCAGAGCAAACGATCCTGGGAAAGTTCTGCTTCCCAGGGGCAGCCTCATGTGATGTACAAGTGCATGGGGGTCCCGGGGAACCCATCCACATGAAGGGGGCTATATGTACACCGGGGAACACAGCTAAGAGTTGGGCTCTGGACACTTTGCCTGGCGGTCACACCCAGTATCCAAGCATATGTAATACATGGACCCAGGGACAGTTTCTGCTCCCAGTCACACTGATGTACATTCAGCGATAACCCCATTGACTTTGATGGAGTTGCACCAGAGATCTGTCTGTGACCTGGGTGCCTAGATGACACCTGCGGGGATGCTAGGTGTTACCATTGTCCTAGGTGGTAAAACGACCTGAGCTCTGTCTACGGGAGTGCTCCCGCTGCTGGAGCTGCACCAGTGGAAGATAGCCTAATGCAAGCCATTCCCTGCCTTCCCCCTTCTTGGCTTGACCCAGGACAGGGGCTGCTGTTCGCAACCCGCGGGGTCCTGGCAGAATGGCCAGGGCGCGTTCTAGGGGCACTGTTAAAGCCGCATCAAGGCTGCCCAGAGGACTGGGAAATGCACAAGTTAACAGAGCCGTGGCGTGTCTGGGGTGTTTCCTATTCCTGATCTGCTGGTTTGATGGTTACTGTTTTCTCTTGGACACAAGGGTATCCAGGGTGGGCCCTTTAATGTCTCTCTTATAACCTTAGCTACGTTCAATTCCCGATGGGCAGAGATTGTAACTGTGCACCGTAACCTATCCTTAACCTTATTGTTGTTATTAGTTTGAATTTTGGTCGCACCGAGAGGCCTCAGCCGAGATCAGGGCCCCATTGTGGTAGGTGCTGTACATACGTACAGCGAGAGACAGCCTCTGCCCCGAGGAGTTCACAGTCTAAGAACAGGGTCTGGATCATGCCTGAGTGTAAGGTAGATGTGCAAAGCAGTAATTATTGCCCTCTCCACCCTCTTGCAGAGCCCATGTCAAAGCACAGCCCAACCCTGGGAGCATGGGGGCAAGGCTCTCCTCCCCGCCACCACCCAGGAACAACCCAGGATGGAGAGGGAGCAGGCAGCAGGAAGACTTATGGCTCCCCCTTCTCCCCCTGCACCACCCAGTAGTGGAACACACCCGACTCCATAAAAAGATGGTGCAAATTATTTTTGGAGCAGGGAGCCCTGGGAAGACTATGGCCTCTCAGAGGCACAGCGCCTCCTGGTGTTCCTCGCCTATGCACCGCCGCTTCCTACGGTCTGTCTGCTAACAGCACAATCCTGCCCAGAGCTTTAGTCTGTGTGCAGCTCGCTAAGCATCCTGCCAGCACCCATCAGCGAGTGCCACCGGCCACAGGCAGGAGTTTCAGTTCCATTAACACCGCCGTTGAGAATAATGCCTTGCTCATTCTGGAGCCAGCCCGCTGGGCATCCCAGATCACCTTGGTAAGGTGGCGGTATTCTTCATTGTGCCTTGTTGCGCCGAAGGGGCGTAGCTGGGAAACTAACATGTTTCAGTGGTAGAGAAGCACAGATTTTTTTCCGTAGGAGCTCAGCTGCGTACATAGAAACGCAGGAGGGCCTTCTGCACTCTGCCTTCTGCTCAGTAATGCCTTCGGGGGGGGGAGGGGCGCTCAGCGGGGATACACAACCACCCTGGTTCACTGGGATTGGAGCTGAGCAAAGTATTCCCAGGAGACGATTGATGGGGTGGACTTGGACACGTTTCCCCATCACAAATTACCCACAAGCACACTTTGATCTCAGCCTTTCCCATGACCGGATTCCAGCCTGCAGATTGCCCCTGAACCATTCAGGTATTTGCTGTCCCTCAAACGTCAGTTCTGCTCCCACACTGGTTGGCACCCAAACCCAAGGCCATGCCAGCCCCTCTGCCGCTGTTGCACCAGCATTTGCACATTTGCCCAGCTATCCAGGAGGCTTTCCCTTTCCGTGGGCATTCTTGCAAACACATTTTTCCTTGCATGGCTCTTTGCGGAAAGCAAATGAAAGGGACTGCAAATACCATCAGTCACTGGACTGATATTTGTCACCTATATTTGTCCAGTTGTGGTTGGATCTGTAGGAGGGGAGGGAAGATGTTCTGTCAAACCAGCTGCATTAACAGTACTGCTGCTCAGCTCTGCCATAGCACTTCCTAGCTGCAGGGTTTAACTCACTTGCCAGGCATTCGTTAAAGCCTCACGCCATTGCTGCATAGGAGATATTCTCCCCCTTTTACAGATGGGAAACCTGAGGCACAGAGCATTGACGGGACTTGCCCGAGGTGTCACAGCAAGGCAATGGCAGAGCCCAGAATAGACACCAGATCTCCTGACTCGAGGCCCTGTGCTTGCTGGAGCTCAGGAGAAAGAGAACTGAGCTGCGTCGCTCTGCTGAAGTTGTTGCAAGGACCGTAGGGGAGGGCATGTTTTGGGGAGCCCTTTCAGTCATCGACCTCAGCCCACAAGCACCCTTTGGTATTGCAGGGAATCAGAATGTTTCACCTCCTGTTATAACACGGAAGAGTTAGTCAATATGATGTCTTCTTAGGAGGATGAAGTCTTTCGTCCTTGTCGGGAGAGCGGAGTGGTCCAGTAGCTGGGGCATAGTGCTGTGAATCAGCCGACCCAGGGTCTGGTCTAAAATGCTGCCAAGGACTGCTCTGATGCTGTGTGCCTCAGTTTCCCCATTGCACAGACGTGCCTCAGTTTCCCCATCTTGAAAATTTGCCTTGGCTTCCCTAGCTTGAAAATGTGCCTCAGTTTCCCGTCTTTAAAAGGGGATAATGATCCTGACCTCCTCTGTAGAGTGCCTTGAGAGGCATGGATGGAAAGCACTATTTGTCAAACGTTAATCACTATGATTATTTTATGTATACACTAAGGAATCCTCAACCAAAATGGCCTGGAGCAGCCGTTCTGAAGATACCTGGCCTTTTCACTCCACTCACAGCGCTCCTGTTAATGTCAGTGGAGTTCTGTGTGGAGACCGGAGGAAGTCTTTGGCCTCTTGATATTCTGGTGCGGGTACAGAGACTTGAGGTAACTGTGGTGCTGTTGTGTTAGGCCGTGGCTGCATTAGAAGCACTGCAGCGTCACGACTGTACTGCACCGACGTAGCACTGCAGTGTAGACACTTATTTCAGTGCGAGAAGAATTGTTCTGTTACCCTAGGGGTGACCCTACTGCGGCTTAGGTTGGTTAAACTACATCTCTCAGGAGCGTGACTTTTTCATACCCCTGAACAACAAGCTGGGGCAACCTCCTTTCTTGTACTTGTGGCACCTTACTCCTGTTCTTTTTTGCGGATACAGACTAACACGGCTACTACTCGGAAACCTCCTTTCTTGTGCAGACCAGCTCTTAGACTGTTGCCTTGAGACTTTTCTGGTAACTGCCATTAAATGAGTATATAGAGCAGCAGCGGATACCGGGCACTAGCATTTCAGGGCCTAATCTGAGCAGATAGATAATTACATAATGTACCCCAATGCCAGGGCTGTGTATATGTAGCTTTAATTACTTACAGTGTTACCGTAATGCGCGTATTCTGCTCTGCGAGGTCTCTGGACTAATCCTTTCAGCACTTTTCATCTTGCAAAGCACTTTACAGATGTTAACTTAGCTTCGCAAACCCTGCTGTGCTCCAGGAAAACATGGCTGTAACCTGTCAGTATCAAAGCAAGGATTAGCGCTCCGGCATTGCCGGTCCCCAGCCCTACGTTCAGATCACTAGATTGGTGGGCTGCAACCCCGGCACTAAACACTAATAAAAATACTCCTTCGTCAAGCAGAAGATTTGGTCGCTGGGCTAGAACTGCTTGTGATAAGAATTAATACCTAGCTTTTGTATAGCACTTTCTAGCTGTAGAGCTCATTGATCCACAGATTACAGGTGGGGAAACTGAGGCACAGAGCAGGCACATGAATTGCTAGTAGGTCCAGGAATAGAATCCAGGCCTCCTGACTCCCATGCCCTGACCACTAGACTAGACTCCCTTCTTTAGACACACATGTTTGGACTGGAGGTGGGCTTGTGACACTCTGTAGCATGCAGAGATGGAACAGGAGACTAGTAAAGTGTGAAATACATTGCCAGTGTGGTAGGATTGTAGCATCGAGGAAGGGGATTGGCCTGTTAGGAACAGCTCCCCTTTGAACCTACTGTATTGTGCTGTGTGCCAAGTGCCCCCCTGGTGACTGCATGCGCAGAGGAGGGAATGGCAAGTGAGGTTTCTGCCAGGACGAGCCCGCCAGCTGGAAATCCTCACGGGAGAGAATTGGAAACCTCAGGAGATCACCAGCTACTCCCTGCTTCTCTTTGGTTCTTCTGGCTGCTTGCTGAGTTGGTCAGCGCTGTGGAGAGTCAAGATTCAGCCTGGCGCCAGCCTCCAAGGGACGCGTGGCTGAGATCCGAACGCAGCACCGCGTCTCTGCACCAACTGCTGATACCAGATGGGCGCCTCCTACAAAACACCAGTTGTCTTGTCACTGAACCGCGCAGGCTACGGAGCTGCTCAGGAAACACACACACCCTTTTAAAAGAGGGGGGAGGACACTGGCCTTCAGGAATTTCTCACTCTCTGGATGGGCTGTTTGTAATGGCAGAGAAAGCTCAGCCCTGGGGGAAAGGAATGGGGCTGTAGAGATAAGCACTAGCATAGCAGAAATGGCCTTAGCTGGGTCAGTGGAGGGGAAGGTGGGTGTGACGTGCCCAATCTACCAGTTACTAACTCTTCTTTCTTTCTTTCTTTCTTTCTTTCTTTCTTTCTTTCACAGGTACAAGGGCTTCATCAAGGACTGCCCCAGCGGACAGCTGGATGCAGCTGGCTTTCAGAAGATCTATAAGCAGTTCTTTCCCTTCGGCGACCCAACGAAATTTGCCACCTTCGTTTTTAACGTCTTTGATGAAAACAAAGTAAGTGGGTGAATGACAGAAGCTGAGCCCCCCTGGCCCTCTGTGCGCACCCCTCTCATGCACCGGGAGTTGTGTGGTTTAGGGTGCCATGAAATGTCTTATACAGTGACAGCCGCTTACTGGTCAGTTCTTGAGTGTGAAAATCCAAGCGGTCGCTTCCCGGGGTAGGGAAATTTCAAGCGGAGAAGCTTTAGCAGCAAATCCCCACGCTCGTTCTACTTTGTGATTCTGAAGGGCGAGGCGGATAGTCCACGAAGTGCGGAAGAGGGAAAAGGAGACATTTGGTGCTGCTAACAGAGGCCCATCAGGCAGGCCGTCCCTTACCCACTAAAGCCGCCAGAATTACCCAGAGCTGCAGGTCTGACATTGCTGGCCAGATCAGGCTTTTTACAGACAAGCTGCAGCGGAGAGAAATGTTTGTAATTCCCTCCTCCTTTCTCTCTCGCCTCTGTCCTGGTGGCTACGACCCTCTTCCCTGTTCCGAGGGCGAGCTCCTGGATTGTGTCAGACTCCGTGGTCGCCTGGCCACCAGCGGTTCTCTTTGCACAGACAGAGTTGCTGAGGAGACAACCCTGGAGCCCTGCTCTGCTGTGGCCAGTCAGCAGCAGCCTTTGCCAGGAGCCCTCTCGCCATTTTGCTTGCAGAAGGGTTCTTGCTCCCGTCCAGTAATTCCCCTGTTTGTTTTTCTTCTGCAGACAATTTCACGGGAGAGAGATAGAGACCCTGTCCTAGTTCCAAGGCACCTCACCGCCCCATCCCTCAGCTGCAGTTCGTTCTGCCAGGACTTGTTAAAGTTGTTGTGGGGGGGAGAGGACGCTCACTCTGTACATGTTCCCCTCCCCCCCGCCCCGCCCGACATCCCTCTCCTCTGGGCACAAAGGGGATGTCTCCATTGCACACTGAGCCTGGGTCGGCAGGACCTCGGCTTGTGGACTCAGTGTTTCCCTGCCCACACTTGCGTGTCCCATTGCATTGTAAGCCTGGGTTTACGATTGTCAGCCCCGGGTCCATATGGCACTATGCCAGCCTTCTCACTTGGGTCTGCGGCTTGAGCTCCATCCACACTGCAAAAGGACAGGGCTTGGACATGAGTCACAGCAGGACACAGGCTCTGACCTCCTCCTGCCCCCCCAGCAGGGTCCTGGGCACTTGCCGAGTCAGACTGATTTGTGTGTGGACAGAAGTGGGGCTTGGGCTCAAACCTGAGTCAGAGCCTGGCCTTGGTGCACAGTGGAAACATTCCCTAAGTTACACCAAATGTAGACTGCCTGGGCTTGTTCCCCACTGCCTTGTGCACCGTGTCTTCCTTTACAGATGCGCAAAGCAAGGGTAAAATGCTATCAGATCGGAATGGCACAAGGCAATAGCCGTTGAGACTCTGTTACATGCCCACTGATGGCAACGTAACTTGCACCATGTCTCTTCTGGATTTGGCCCTGGGATTGGAATTCACAGCAGAGAAGGGACCAGTGAAACTCTGCTCAGAGAAATGGAATTGCTCCACCAGTCGGGATACCAGGGAGCTGCTCCCCTTCCACAGAATCAGGTGCCTGCCAGTGGATTCTGGTGCCCAGCATCCTGCCCCCTCTCTTACCAGCTGATTAGTCCCAAAGCACCAAGAGTAACTGGAACTGTTACTCTACTGGACCATAGCTGTGGTCAGGGGGTCACCTGAACAAGATCTAGTGACGGAGCCCCACGAGCAGGAATGCAATTAACCCTGCTTACGTCACCACAGTGAATCAGCAGCGCAGCGTCTGTATGGAACAGGCCTGTTTGGGACTCCACATGTGTTTGCATGCATGATTCATAGGCGCGGCACACACGTGTAACAATACAAACCTCGGCCCCTATGCTTTTGACGTCTGTGTCACTCTAGAGCTCTCTTTCCCTTCTCAGGATGGGAGGATCGAGTTTTCGGAGTTCATCCAGGCGCTGTCGGTCACGTCCCGAGGGACCCTGGATGAGAAACTGCGGTGTAAGTACTCAGCTCAGTTTGAAGCAAGGAACGGCGTCTCTCTCTGTCCCCCCACTTCTGCTCTTGAGCCCAGAACGGGTGCAGAATAGCAAGAGGCAGCCATGCAGTGAGCATCTGCCCAAGCAGGGAAGAGCACTAGAGAGGGGTCTCACTGGGTATGTCTAACCTGCACCCGGGAGCGAGGCTCCCAGCCAGGGCCCACAGACTGGGGCTAGCGGGACTCCCACTCGCCTGCTAAGAATAGCGGCGTGGGCGTTGCTTGAACGCTGGAGCTCGGGCTGGAGCTGGGGCTCCCAAGCCCTGGCACTGCTCTGCGGCGTCCGGGGCGGAACGTCAAAGCAACGCTCCCACAGCTCATTTCCGTGTGCGAGGGTGAGTTCCTGGCACGGACCTGTGGGCTCCGGCGGGGAAGCTCGCGCCCAGTTGCAGGGCAGAGCCTTGTTGTGCCAGGGCTCTGTCTTAGGGTCTCAGTGCAGGCGTTCGCATCGCACAGCCCGAACTGAAATGGGGGGACGCTCGCTGGGGTGCAGGAAGGGAGGCTCCCAGAGGAGAGAGCTGGGCGTTAACTTACTCTGCGTGCGGTAAGGTACTTAGGAAACCTGGCGGACTGACAACCCGGCAGAACAGAGCCTCTCTTTATCCACAGGTCCAGTGCAGGCATTAGCAAGGCAGGGCTCCCCCTTGCTACCCCTCTGCCCCCAACTTGAGGGACCTCGCCTGGAGCGTGGGGGCTCATCTGGGCCTCTTAGCTGAGACTGGCCAGGGAGTGCCAGTGATGTCTGTGCCCTGGGAAGTGGCCCCCAGGAGATGGCTTGTTCCTGGCACAGACAGGCCACTAAGGGCTGACAGACTCTCACTGCCAGCCCAAGCTACGTTCACACTGGGTGCTGCCTGCCCTCTGGCTCCCGGCGCTTCCTCAGCTATTCAGCATCACTCTTGGTTTCAGGGGCGTTTAAACTGTACGACTTGGACAACGACGGGTACATCACGAGGAACGAGATGCTGGACATCGTAGATGCTATTTATCAGATGGTGGTGAGTGTCGGGGGGAGGGGGAGAGGACGCTGGGGTAGAGCGCGCTGCGGTCCCCCTTGCATTCAGATCCATTCCCCTGAGTGCAGCAGGCCTGTCCGGGAGTCAAATTAGCATGGCTCCGATGGGCAGAGTGGGGCAGGATGTGGGCAGCCCCTGTGGCAGGTCACTCCCCCTGCTTTTGTGGATATGGTGGAGGGGGTTGAGGTGGGGAAGAGCAGGGCAGCCTGCTGGCTAACTCATCCCCCTAGAGAGCAGAGGTGGCTTCCGACCTGAGGCTCCTGCCGTGAGCATGTGACCCCCATCAGCATCACTTGGCTGCCAGCTGGCTGCGGGAGGCTTGTGTTCCCACCCTGCCTTCCCAGACTGCTGCAGCCCCAGGTCCCAGTGCTGGAATCATTTGCTCCAAGTGGGGCCAGGGATCGGATGTGGCCCTTCGCTAGGAGTCTCTTGTGACTGGGATGCACGTGAGGTCGGCTGAAAGGTGCCTGCGGTGGAGAGAGCAGGCTTTCCGCAGAGTGGACGGAGCCGCCCAGAACTGTCCTGAAGAGGCTCAGCTCTAGACCGGGGCATTCTTCCCCTAATGCACAGAGAGAGAGTGAGACCCAGACACCTAGCACTGAGGATGCAGCCCAGCCACAAACAGTAAATGTGTGTAAGTTACACTCTCTCCTGTCCCTACAGGGAAACACGGTAGAGCTTCCAGAAGAGGAAAACACACCTGAGAAGAGAGTGGATCGGATTTTCGCTATGATGGACAAGGTGAGACTCGATGGTGACTCTTGTGTGTTTTCTCCTCACCTCTAGGGGGCGGCGGCTGTCACAAGCCCCACTCTTCCATCTCCCAGACTGGGTCCCGCTCCCCCGACAGGTGCTATGTACCATGAAACCCACCGACCTGTAGTCGTCTCCTCTCACTGTGGACACAAAATCTCACCTATGCAGCCTGCTCAAAGCTTCTGCATGGGCTGGTGGGAGCCCCAGCTACTCAGGGCCTCTCATCATTGGGTGTGACATGGCGCCGCATTTGACAGTGAACTGTTAGTCCCTGATCTAGACTGGGCCCAATGGAGGGGAGCTTTGCCTTACAGTTCCTTCCTGCTTCCAGCTTCCCCCTTGCCTGTGAGCGTGGATTCTTGACCCCAGGCTGGCCTGACCAGGTGTGGATGTGATGGGTGATCTCATTCCAATGCAGGGCTGAATCAGCAGAGTGCTTAAACCCCAGTGGAGACTTCGAGCAAAGCCTGGGCTTGAGTGCTTGGCTGAATCAGCGTCTCTGGCAGGCTGGCACTTTGGGCTGGACTCAGCCCTGCTGGACTAGAGAGGTGTCACGCCCAGGGGTGAAGTGGGATTTGCCCAGGTGCGTTTCCATCACCGCCTGCCCTGGGGGAAGGGCAGCCTTTCTTTCTACTGCAGGGCCAGAGGAGGCTGCTGAGTGGACCAGCGTATCTATCCCCTTAGCCATAACCCCACCCCAGCCAGCGTGGCCAACTCTCCAGGCCTACTCTTGCCCACTTGGCCCAGTTAGGGCTGCAAAGGCCAGTGGGGCGGCTCCAGAGGAACACGGTGCCCTTCGAATCCACTCCTCAACGTGCACATGAGGCAGTAGAGAATTGGGATAGATATCAGGGATGGGACAGAGTCAAGGGGGGCCGGGTCCAAATCTGAATTTCCGTGGAGTTTGGGGCAAGGGATGTTTGGCTCAAAGCTGTCTCTCTTTAATACCCAAGCACAGATTGTTCCTCTGGGTCCAGGGCATTTCAATAAAACAATTAGTTGCGACATATTGGCCATCGCCAGCTCTCACGGCTGTTGCCTTTCAGAATGCCGATGGGAAGCTAACGCTGCAGGAGTTCCAGGAAGGCTCCAAAGCCGATCCCTCCATCGTACAGGCACTGTCCCTCTATGATGGACTCGTATAGGCCCCGGGATCCCAAGCTGAGGTAAGCCGAGCAAGGTGGTAGTACTGGGGATCTCTGTTTTGTGTAAGCAGAACTGGCAGTGCTGCCTAGACCGAAGGTTGCCTGACTGCCTATTTTCAATTGCTTCTAACTTTGCCAAACGTGAACTGTTTGAGCTGAAATTTTCTGTGCTGCGTGTTTGCCTCAGGCTGAACTTTTGGGGGGGTTAGGGGGTGGGGGTGGGAAGGGGTTTCAGCTGAAACAGTTCAGCCGTTTCCTAGAATGATGCTAGGAAAAAATTAGGTTATATTGCCCATATTAAAAATAGTCTTCTAACTGTTTAATTGAAAAGGCCTAGCACCCCCATGCTTTGGAGAAAGAGCTTGAAATTTGGCAGGTGGGTGGCCTTTATATCAGGAAAGTGCCTTGGCCACCCCTGTTAAAATCCGCCCAAATATGGTCACATTATAAACCTTTGAAAAAAATCTCCGTTTCCACATGCACCGGAGAGACTTGTTAGAGTTTGGCAGCGAAAGTCTCCAAAGATTCCATCTTTACTGAGCATGCTCCAGCCTCTCACAGCTCTTACGTGGTGACTAGACTGCACAGGTGCCATCCCTTAAGGTTGCCTGACACTGCCCATTTTCAGTTGCTTATAACTTTGCCAGGAATTGATCAGGGGCTGCAGGGACTGAGCAGGACTTTCCCTACATAAGAGCGGACATATTGGGTCAGACCAATGGTCTCTAGAGCAGTATCCTGTCTTCTGACAGTGGCCAATGCCAGGTGCTTCCAAGGGAATGAACAGAACAGGGCGATCATTAAGTGATTGGACTGTCATCCAGTCCCAGCATCTGGGACAATTGCTCCTCATGGTGCTGGGGTCTGTTGTGGTGCCAGGCACAGGAACTGAGAGTGGGCAGACAGTGTCTTCTGTGCTGTCAATGCTAGAACATAAGAATGGCCATACTGGGTCAGACCAATGGTCCAACTAGCCAGTGTCCTGTATTCTGACAGTGACTGGTGCCAGATGCTTCAGCGGGAATGGATAGAACAGGGCAATTTCAAGTGATCCATCTCCTGTCATCCAGTCCTAGCCTCTGGTAACTGGAGGTTTGGGGGCACCCTGAGCATGGGGTTGCGTCCCTACCCATCTTGGCTAAGAGCCATTGATGGATCTATCTCCATGAACTTACTAATTCTTTTGTGAACCTAGTTATACTTTTGCGCTTCACAACATCCCCTGGCAATGAGTTCCACAGGTTGACTGTGCATGCTGTGGAGAAGTACTTCGCTATGTTTGGGCCCAGGTAACATGGAGCAGCAGGAGGAAGCAGCCACATTAGAATGCAGGGGGTGAAGAACAGGGAGGAGGGAGAAGAGGAGGGCACAGGAGCCAGGAGGTAAGGGAAAGCGGAGGAAGAAGTGGACAGTGCAGTCTGGGCTATTCCTCAAGCAATGTGAGGTGCCCCAGGGATGAGTCGTCTCTGTCAGGGAAAGTGTGGCAGCATCCAGAGCGTGGAATGAGCTGGACCAAAGCCAAGGAGATCACCCCGTTGTCCCTGTCAGGATGGTGCTGGGATTCCAGCCTGGGGCTCAGAGGAACTTCCTCCAGCACGTCTCAGGTTTGAGCATCCTAGCACAAAGAGACCACGCTAATAGCCCTAGAAAAACCCAAGACATCACGTGGGACTGTGAAACGAGGCTAGAGCAAAGCCTGGGGAATGCCCTGGAAGGAGCCGTCCTGCAGTGCCAGGAGGATGGGGCAGATATGAGGTCCAAGGTCTCCTCCGTCTCTGACCCTCACAATTCCATAAGTCAAGCCACACACAGATGCAGTGTGAGGGCCGATAAAAACCCGTGATGGGTTCATTTTATTTTTGTACCACTTTACCAGGCTGGTTCTTATTTTGTCACATCTGGGGTGGGTGGGGAGAGGGCTAGTCCTACACCCAGATTTGGGAAGGGGTCTCCAAGAAATGATGCTGAATTCAGCCCATCTCTGCACGTTATTGGAATGGGGTGACTGGCACTAATTAGATTAATTAGACTGATTCGCTGCAGATGCTGCATTCCCTGTGCATTATGTTCTCCCCTGAGCCCTAACTCTGCCTCCTTCTGCATGCGCTTGGCTGTTTTTAAGGCGATATGTAGCAAACTCTAGTGGTGAATGCACAAAGGAAATGCCATTTTGTCAGAAGGGAGCTAGTTGGGAATGCAGGACAAGCTCCTGTAGGGGGCCCGATGAGGCCCTGAGCTCAGCAGCAGCCACCTGGCCTGGGGAAAGCTGCTCTTCAGGGCTGTGTGTGCAGTGGTGCAAAGAATAAACTAAGCTGGAGAAGCCAGAGGCTGGGAGGGAGGAGAAGACAAACTCTTTAGTGAGTTACTGGGGGATGAGCGGTTGTTAGACTTGGATCTAGTTGGCTCCAAACTCCCCTCTTGGGAGCTTTATAATTCCTACCACCCGATGGGGGAATCGATTCCTTCCTACAATCTTGGGGGACAATCGCAAACACGCTTTCTGATTTTCAGGCATCTACAAGGACGGTTGTAGATGATGATACAGTAAAACCTGCCTCGCTGTAAAGGATTTTAAACCAGCGGGGTCCGTGGGGTGACTCACATGGTAGCCGCGATGGAAGAGCCCCAGAGGCAGTTTGCAAAGTCTGGGGATTGGGGAAGGTGCTTGTGTACTAAGCATCAGTATCACAGCTGGCAGGGTATGATACTGAATAGCCCCTGCACATCAATATTCTGCAGCGTTAATCATAGGGATGATTATTGAATTGTATCTGTGTATTGTGGGAGCACACAGGTGCAGCTCAGATGCAGTCCTTGCCCCAAAAACCTGTCCTTAAGAAATGTCTCCAAAATTTTGAATTATGACAGAAAAGGGAAGGTGGGAACCATCAACATTTTCACCCCGACATTCCTCCTTCTCCTTGGAGTTCTTCAGATTTCATAACTTGGATGCTGTTTCCCATTTTTGAAAATTTAAGCCTCGAGAAATGGGGAGGGGGGGGGAAGGAATTTCAGAAGGAGGCAGCGAATTTTTCCCTGTTTACCCAGCCAGCTCAACATTGCCAACAGCAAGCTTTGAGAAACTGGCGCGGTCCTAACAAATCATGAGACTGGCTAATAAACCAAGAGATTTAAAAAAAGAATAAACCTTAGGTTCTGGAGTTGGCGCCTCGGATGTGTGTGGGGGAGTGTCATATTTCCAAACTTTTCTCCACAGCCAGGATGATGAGAAACATCCATTCTATTTTCAGGGAAAGCATAGAGTCTCGCAAGAATCACCTGACTCCAGGAGCTGGGTCCTTAAGAAGAAAAAAAAAAGATGGCAGGACTTGCAATAAAATGACACAAGTTGGCAGCACCGACTTACCAATACATTTCTTATTGTCTCTAGTTTCGCTGACTTAAACACAGGTTGACTTGCTTTCTCCTCTTCTCCCCCTTCCCCCACCACCCCCCAACTTCTCTTTCAGTTGCCTGGAGGAAGATTCTTTCTGTGCCATCAGACCACCTCAGTAAAGAAGCTTGCCTGTCCCTCTCCAGCCTTCCTCTATGTTACACGAACAAGGGAGGTGCTTGAAGTGTGAGGTCATCCCCCCCCACTCTGCACTCTGAATTAACCGTGTCCATTTGCCAACTTCTGCTTTCTCAACAACAACAACAAAAGGGGGAAAAAAAGAAGAAAAAAGAAAGGAAAAAATAGAAAAAGCAGCGATTTTTTCAGCTTCTGGGGTGGAAGGGATCATGCATCGCTGTGTGGAGACCCCTCCTGCCTCTCGCTTTTACTTAGTACATTTTTTTTTGAACGGACTAAAAACACCAACAAATATTTTACATTATTTTCATAGAAAAGCGCAGCATGAAGAAGGAACCAAAAGGTACTGCTGAGGTCTTGGAGCAGGCGGCTGCCGCATGCCGTCCGAGTGCTTGATCGCAATCGGCTTTTGCTTTATCGGGGGGGGGAGGACAAGGGGATGGACGATACAAGGCAACTGGAAATGAAAGTTCCACCACCCCTGCGTTTCCAGCAGCCGCCCAGCCCGCGTCGCTAGGGAGATATGTATATTTTTTGTGATACAGTATTGTGCTTTTTTTTTTTTTTTTGGATGGAAAAAGTGAGGCTTTTGTTACTATGCCTATCTATGTTATCGATATCTTTATTTATTTGTTGTGACCGTTGCTGCTATGTTTAGTCTTTCGTGTGTTGAAACACCTAGGTGATAAAAGTTGCAAGGTTTACACACTATGGCAGGGGGAGATAGCCTGCGATAGCAATTAAGCCAAAAATATCCCCCACCCCCCCACTATACTGTGCTTTGTCAGCTGGTTGATGTTTTACGGGGGATAATCTAACCCCCTTCTCCTTATTCCCATGTCTCTGGTCCCTGCACCCTGCCCTCCCTCCTTCTCTTCAGAAACTCAGCTAGTACCCCAGACAAATCCCAAGGCGGGGACTGAATGCTGTCCTCCTCTCAACAAATTGTATTTCTGTTGCCCTTACGCAGTCATTTTGCCATCTTGCCTTTGTGTAAAGCAGAATGATGAAATATACCGTATCCAGATATTTCTCTGCATGAAAAGTATTAATGGGGCCAATATTGTTTGAGCTTTAAAATGACCCTGCTTTTTGGAAAATCCCAGGACTGTCGTGTACCTATCTTGCGGGGCGGATGGGGAGTTAATAAAATGGAACCGAATTAACTCCTTGCTAAGCCTCCAGGAGGTTGGGAGCCTGGAGTGCCTGTGGGCTGAGAACAGAGATGGTTGGTTGATTGTACAGTGTAAAGTTTTTGAAAAGAACCAGCCGGTCAGTGGAGCTTAGGAGGGTTATCTAAGCAAACTACAGTTCACAGCTGTTTAAGGCAAAACCCAAAGCCTTGACGCTGTCCAGAGCTACACAGTGCTGCTTATTGTCCTGGAGAAGGGGGAGGAAGACTGGCTATAGCCTCTTAGTGTTTTGCCGCGTTTGCTCTCGTTCGGCAGTTTTAAAGTGCTCTTGAGTTTTGCTCTTTGGGCCATGCATTGAGAGGGAGCTAGAAACACCTTGTTCAGTGGGTCACATCCATTCCTACGGTGCCCAGTTTGGGTCACAAAGATGGACCTGAGCTTTGATGAACAGGAAAACAATCAACGAAACAAATCCGGCCTTGCCCCCTGCCTCATTTCTGCTTGGTCTATCTCCACCTTGGGGCGAAATGGAATAGCACAATAGAAGCACAGTAGCAAATGCACCCAAGACTAGGGCAGGCACGAGCCATGGTTCCTTTGTATGGCTGGGCTGGAACGGAAAACCTCCTGAAGCTTTCCCCAGGAAGGTGCCTATACACAGAGCAATGGTCAAATTCCCCATAAACTTTGCAGGCCTTCCCCTTTCCACCCGCGTTTTTGGTCATGCACCCAGAGGTTGGTGCGTTCCCCTGTTTTGCTCACTAGCCACAGTATTTCTAAGGCTCTGATCATCTTGGGATTCAAACACCAAGCATTGTTCTTCTTCCGACTGTGTATCAAGAACAGCTGCAGAGTAATGGATCGGGAGGCAGGAGGAAGAATCTGCTCTTGGGTTCTCCCAGGCAGTACTTGAAACCTCTCGCGGGAAACCTGTGAAAAGGGCACTGACTCCATCTTTCAGAGCGGAAATCGCTTTTTCTGTATATAAATCCCAGTCACTGTGCCAAGCACTGCTTCCCCTTCCTTCTTTCCTCTCCCACCATATTCCTACAGTGTAACCAGAGCCAGCTGTGCTTTGCCAGAAATGATATACAGCCCAGGTGACCCAGATTTGGCACTCGAATGCCTGCAGGGTGGTGAATGTGGGTGCCTCTTTGCACAGGGGCAGATATCCATAGGAGGGGTGTCTCCTGTCTCCGTAGTCGGGCAGACTTCGAGATTGTCTACACACTAGGGCTACATAGATTTGAAACGTGAACTCCAGCTCCAAAAACAACTCACTTCAGTCACTGGAACTAAAGAAGAAATGTCCATTAGCTGTCACCAGCATTAGGGCTTCTCTTCTGCGTAGGCTGCACTAGGGGCAATAGGGGGACACAGAGGAGAGTAAGGTCTGATTCCGTCCAGCCGTGACACATTTGCACTAGCGTGTACATAACACTGGCTTTCTTCCAGTGCTTTGCATTCCATGTTCAGTCCTCCATGTGTCACAGAGCACAGATGTTTTAGGATGGCAGCTGCCCCTCAATCTCAGCTCGCTATTGCAGGTTATGGTCGTACCCTGGTCGTGGAAGCACAAGAGTTTTTGGCCTATCACAAGCTTTGGAAACCAGGCAGGCTTTTCTCCACAGTCTGCATCCTCTCTTTACCACCATGCAGTTTCGTTGGAAGTTCTCCCATTCCTGTTCCAGAAGAAAGACGAGTCAGCTGGTATTGTAACTTTCTAGAGCATGGCCTGATTTCTTTTTGTTTGTTTGTTTTTGGCGTGAAACAAGAGGGGAGTGCTGTACCCCCACGGTCATCAGTGTAAGCAACTGCATCTGCCCTGCATTTTGCATTTAATACCACAGTACCTTTTCTTTGGTGGGGCTAGAAGTTATTTCTCATTGTGTGGTTATAATGATGTCCTTCATCCTTCCCAGCGAGGTCACCCACCCTTTCCAGAGCAATATTTTCAGCTACTGGGTCACAAATGCAGCTGGTATAAATCATTCCCTTGACTTCCATGGAGCAACTCTGATGGACAGCAGCTTGAGGACTAGTCCCTGTTGCGTGGGCAGCATTGGGTGGGAGGCCTCCTGGCCCACAGAACACCAAGCCTGAAGGCATGGGCTGTGATCAGCACATCGGAGCTGTCTGCAGTAGCCTCAGCCAGCCCAAGGTCCAACCAGCAAATCAAGGACCAAACAGCAGAGGTGGCAGGGGCAGAGAATTAACTCCAGGTGAACTGTACATGTCAATTTTGGCTCCAAGGCTGGAATTTTCAAATGAGGGAGGTAGGCACTCAAATCCCAATAGCACCTAACCCCTAAATCCCAGCCCTAGTGCAGAGTGGCCATCTATGTAAGGTGGCTATTTATTCCCCATGCCCTGACCCAGCACTAGTAAGGAGTTCTTGTCTTGTCCTATGGCTACCTTCCATTTGTAACAATCATACAGAGCACCCAGACATCCCGTCTATACCATTCTTAAAGGCCATCCCTTTCCACACGTTTCTCTCACTGGTATCAGAAAAGCACAAACTGTTGGAAGTAGCATGGTCTGTTTCGTTGCTTGTTAAGCTGGGCTTCCGGGGCTTGATTTGTGTGCACGTCCAGCTTGCGTACTTCCAGACAGAACTGAAGGCTTTGTAAAGACCTTGGTCAGTATGCCGCGCAACAGACCTGGCTCCAAATCTAGCTTTAGGGCTCGGGGATGACTCATGCGTTAGCAGGTCAAGAGAGAGAGAGATTTGGGGGGAGGACCACAAAACTGCATGTTTTGGTTCCCCTCAAAGGCACCAATCATGCAGTGAGGCCAGAGACCATCCACTGATGGGTTGCAAATCCCATGGAGTGCTTAGCTTGACTTGAAAATGTGGTAGGAACGTCAGTTTCCCCTCTTGTTCTATTCGCCAGGTAGGCTGGATATTCTGGATCGGCTCTACTGTAACTGATTCCTCCAAGTAGAGGCCTCAAGCCAGAGAAGCACATGCTTAGGTCCACCTTTATTCAGGAATTCACTTAAGCAGGTGCTTAATTTTCATTCCTAAATAAAGATGAGTCCCTGTATTGGGGCTTGAACCATTTCTGTCATTGCTTAAAATAATATCCAGCCTCTTCAATGACTCCTGATCCAGAAAGCCCCATCGGTGGAATGTTCTGAAACCAACATGGTTCCACTAGGAAATGATCCTGTATGAGAAGATAGATATTGTACAGAAATAGCATCAAGACACTGCAGCTCTGTATGCTGAGAGGTTTTGTCTTGGGGTTTGACTACGGGCTACTGAAGTATTGTTTTGTAAGGCGGGACCCATTGACCGTGGCACTTCTTGAGGAGACTTGATCAACCTTAGGAAAACTCACCAAACAACTGCTGCATTTTATTGCAGGACAAATTCTGACCTCATAGGGCCTGATCCTGATCCCACTAAAATCAATGGACCAGATCTTCAGCTGGTATAGAGTCAGTGGCTCCATTGCTTTTGATGGAGCTATGCCAGTTTATACCAGCTGAGGATCTGGACCAGTGTGACTTTTGCCATTGACTTCAAGGGGAGCAGGACCATCATATGAATCTCTGTTGAGCCACTGGGATGAGATAAAGGATTTGAAGGTGTCGGGGGGTCCTGAGCTTTTCCTGGGTGCTGCGGGCTCTTTTGGAAAGCCTTGCCTGAAATAAAGGAAGCGAGACAAGGAATTGAACATTTACCGTGTTCTCTGTAAGGGCACACAAGTTGTTTTTACACCCAAGAGCAATGCCTCTCTCCCTTTGAAGCTGGGAGTTGGCTGGCTCCTGCTTTTCCCTTCAATCTGATATGTTACAGGGATGGATGGGTGAAGAAGAATGGAACATACCGCCCTGGTCGTTCCAAGGGAAACTCAATTCCCCTGCTGCTTTGTGGCCAGAATGCTCTCATTTTTGGTAGCTCTCTGCGGTGCCACCCGACTCATCATTTCTTCCCCCCAGGCTGGTCACTTTCTGATACCGACTGGTGTTTAAGGTGAATGTGACACTTCTGTAACTTCCCCTGCTGATAACTAACTAACCGCACAAAGTTTATAACAATATCCAGGCAAGTGTGAATGTATTTGTTCTGGCACTTTTCTCGGAAAGGCTTTTAAGTTTGGCAGAGGTTTTTCACCTTCCAGTTCATTGTATGAAGGAGCCACCGTACTTCAAGGGACACTCTATAATTGGTCCAGCTCACACAGACCTATTGTTTAACAAATAGATTGTCTTTGCCAGATTTTCAGTAGCAGCAGCTGTCTGTAGCTCAGCAACAAACAACCCCTGGTCTGGGAGCTGCAGAGAGCCCTGATGATTAGCACTCTCGAGTAAGCAAGGAATTTCATGTTTCAGCAAACTGCTTTTATTCAACAATCGCATCCGCAACATGGGGGATGCTACTGGATTCAGTGTCTTACTCGGAGAAGCCCCAAGCTCTCTCCATTGCCAGGTCTCTCTCTCTAGCTTACTTCCTGTGAGCTACTAAAAGGCCCAAAAGATGGTGGTGGGCCCCATTGACACACACAGCTAAGGGAGTAAGCGGAATGGAGCCTTTGGCCTCCCTACCCCGTTAGAAAGGATAGGAAAGAAAGCTGTGTTTGTCAGGGCGAGCGGATCCAGATGGGGCGGGAAAGAAGTGTTGGGTTTGAGCTCACGAGGGCTTCAACTGGTAGGGAGCGCGGAAGAGAAACGTACCTCACAGTGACACCCAAGCTATGGCTGGTTCCAGTCCAGCCCACCTCCCCTAGAGCTGTACCTGAGGTCTTCGCCACAGCCCTGCCTCACTGGCAGTGAAAGATGATTTCTGCTTGGCAATTTTTGCTGACCCTCGCCAACTGCCGCCTTCAGGACAGTGCAGTCCCCTAGCTCAGAGTCACTGTCATACCCCTCTATTCTTTTAATATTTGCAAATTAAAAAGCAGAACAGGTTTTGAGTGAATAAAAAGCTTTGGTTGATTAATAAAGAGCCTGTTTCATCTTTTTTTTTGTGACCATGTAAGTTTTCCCTTGTGGACAGGCAAGCCTGTTGCTGGAGCCAGACGTTACCTGCAGGGTTGTTTGAGAACTCAGCAATGGCGTATTTTCTCCCCGAGGGGCAGCACGTTCCAATGGGGAGGGTACGGGACTGGAACTGGTGAGACCTGGGTGCTAGTCGTGCCTCAACGCTTGACTCACTGAGTGGCTTTGGGCAAATCACTTAGCCAAACTTTTCAAATGTGGCCAATGATTTTGGGACCCTGACTTTGAGATGCCTTCAGCCTTGTTTTCAGAAGTGCTGAGCATCCACCTCTCCAGCAGAAAGCCACGGGAACTGCAGCTTCTCAGCACCCCAGAAAATAAGACAGAAGGCATCTCACCTGAGAAAACGTTGGCCTTAACCTCTCTGTGCCTCAGTTTTCCCATCTGTAAAATGGGTTTGACATCTACCCAGTCTTGTAAAGTGCTTTGAGATCTACATATAAAAATGCTGTCTGAGTGCTAAGTATTATATGACTATTATTTATTATTAGTGAACCGATTTTGCACAGACTCTGGAAAATGAAACACAAAGGAACCATGAGTAATGCGGAAATCTCTTCCTCCTGGTTTTGGAATATTCAGTTTATTTCACCAAGTCATTAGCTTTTTAAAAAAAATCTGGGTCATTATTAAAAAACAACAACGGCAACTGATGTGTTTGTTTTTGTGATATTTTCTGCACATTTCCCGAGATGTTCCTGGACTAAAGAGAGAAGAGGGTTGCAGCTGTGACATTTGAAGAAACAACCAGTAACAGAGTTAAAGGTGCATGGCCAGCCTGTGATAACTTGCTTTCCGGCACTAGATGTTATCTGTCACTGTCAGTGTTGCATAGATTAAAATGCGGGATCTGTACTTTCCTTTTCTTTTGTTTTATTTTTCTGTTCGTGTGATAACTGTTGCCATTTTATATCACCTTTTGCTGCAGCTCTGGATCTTGTCTGGGCTTAGCTGTTTCCTCAAGAAGAAAAAAAGATTTGCAATATTTGGGGGGAAGTCAGACTGGCAGGTCCCCTGACTTATAATAATAAGTTTCCATTGTACAAGACAGAAAGAGAGGGAGATGTGAAGGTTTTTTCCTCTTGACTAGTCATTTAATTATAATGATCTGTAGCACAGGCAAAAGCAGCTATCTACAGCTATTCCCTTGTGAGGAATTTCATTTTCAATTGCTTTTGAGACGTGTTTTAGCGCTGGGCCACTATTCCACAAACCTCCCATGGGCCACACTCTGAGCAGGGCTCAGTACTTGCATTGATCTTCATTGGACGGTGCAGCTACTGAGGGTCTGGCCCTGCCTTTTTGACAGGTAGAATCGATCTCCACATGTGCTGATCTCGAGGGCATGGCATCCTGCAGCTTGTTAATCAGTCGAAGAAGCAGAGGACAAAGAAATGGGCCCAATAGTCTGCTGATTTAAATGGGTGAAACTGCATAGGCGTTAGTGGAATTGCACCCATTTACACCAGAGGAGAATTCGGTCCAGTGCAGAAAACTAGTAAAGCTCCCATTCCATGGAACAGGCGTAGTCAGGTGAAACGTTTCAACGTGAGAGCAGGGCAAGGAGAGTTGGCTGGTTGCCCATTGCATTCAGCATGTTGAGTTCACCCTTGAATGTCTGTGAGCAAATCTGCACTGACACAAGCTGTGTTTTTCCCTGCATGTCACCTGGGTGGAGAGTGATACGGTGTGATCTCACGGGGATAGCTTAGATCCTAGACCCTGGCAAAACTGCCTTTCCAATGGTGTGGGATGCAGCCTTCAACTCCCAATAGTCCACGAGACATTCAAAGCTGCCATCTACACATAGATTCAGAGTCCCCAAATTCTATCGGTGCCACCATAGATACACATGGGTCATTGTGATAGCATCCGGGACTGGCTGGACCAGCTAGCCAGCCACTGGATAAGGAGTAAATCAATGTGTGGATTGCAAAGCAGAACAGACAGTGGTAGCCTGGGGTGAGGCCTGAGTTGTGGGAGGATAATTGTCTCTTAAAGAGATCCACAGAAGGCAAACAGGGGAGAACCATTTGGTTTAGTTAGGGTTCAGAGTAGTAGCCATGTTAGTCTGTATTCGCAAAAAGAAAAGGAGTACTTGTGGCATCTTAGAGACTAACCAATTTATTTGAGCATAAGCTTTCGTGAGCTACAGCTCACTTCACTGGATGCATGCAGTGGAAAATACAGTCGGGAGATTTTATATACACAGAGAACATGAAACAATGGGTGTTACCATACACATTGTAACGAGAGTGATCAGGTAAGGTGAGCTATTACCAGCAGGAGAGAAAACAAAAACAAAACCTTTTGTAAAAAGAAAAGGAGGACTTGTGGCACCTTAGAGACTAACCAATTTATTTGAGCATAGGCTTTTGTGAGCTACTTTGCGAATACAGACTAACACGGCTGTTACTCTAAAATCTTTTGTAGTGATAATCAAGGTGGGCCATTTCCAGCAGTTGACAATAACATCTGAGGAACAGCAGGGGGGGAAATCAGCATGGGGAAATAGTTTACTTTGTGTAAAATGACACATCCACTCCCAGTAGTTAGGAAAAGATAAATCTGGGTGAGGCGCAATTAGCAGGTAAAAGCAGAGTGACCAGGAGGGTGAAGAAGGATTGATTCGCGTCTGCTTCTTTACTGCACAGATGTCTGCCCCCACTCTGATCTGCAGGAATTGTCCATTCTCTCCCTCCCTCCCTGCTGCTAAGGAAATCAAACGTCCCAAGTCCTTTTGAGTCCCTGTTTTTCAAAGTCGGTTTTAGCAATGGGGCAGGGAATTAGTTTTCGCACATAGGTCCTTCTCTCGCTCTCTTTCTGTTCCTAAGAACGTTTGTCCACCCCTCGCTCTGTGTCCTCACCGGCAATCAGCTGAGCCCTGGGCTAAGAAACAGCAGGTTCTGCAAAGATCCCCATTTGTAAAGCCCTGGCCCTGGTGTCTGCGCTGGTGTCACTCCCTCCGGTTTGGATTGCATGCCCCTTATTGCCTTGTCTTTTAAGTCTTGAGATGAATTCAAGAGCAAAACAAAAAAACAGAACAACAACAACAACAAAACCCCCACAAAACCCCAGAACTTTGTGACAGTTGAAATAAAAGTTTAATGACAGGAACAAAGTGCACGTGGTCTGTGGTGCACTGCAAAGCCAGGTACGTGAGAGATTCTCTACCTAGGAACATACGTGCTGTACACATACAAACAGCAGACTAAAGAGGAAGGGTGAACTGGCCCCACTGAAGTCAATGGCAAAATTCCCTTTGGCTCCAATGGGGCCAGGATTTCACCCAAAAAGAGGAGCCCTTGTATTTTCCAGGCTTCTTGTTCTGTAACCGTTGCCACTAGCTGTATAGTTAGGTTGATCCATGCCCTGGGAATCTCAGTTTGTCCCTCAAGTTTATTGGTTTGGGGCAGGATTCTTCTACCTCCGCTTTGGACCCCTAAGTATGATTCCTATAGACACTCAAGCAGCCCCTTATGCCACACACCACTGCTGGTAGGACTATCCGTGCAGTCAGGTGTTCTCCATAACAAGTAAAGGCATCAAAATCTGGCCCCGGGGAGACGTACCTTACTCCACGAATATCCCCCTGAATTCAGTTTGGCTCAGAAGCATGGTCTGCAGGATCTAATTTGAGCTTGTCTCTTAATGAGCTCCATGAAAGGCCAGCATCTCCATCAACTTCCTACCATGCTGGGAAATCCCTGGGACGCCCCCTGGAGTAAGGCTGTACTTGGCCTGAGGAGGGGTGGCAGAATCCAGCCTTTTAAAAGGTTTTGTTGCCCAACATTTGTTTGAAATCTTGGCTGCAACGAGCATTTGCTTGCCTTCCAAGCAGCCTGCTTCACCCAGCCCCATCATCGGGGCTGGCAGTCAGGAAGAGGGAGCTCCTGCCAGGGTTGTCTGGTTCCCAGGGGTGATTCAGAGGAGCGGTGCGGCCTCGTGAGGTGGAAGACGCTATGTTGCTGAAGGAGCCTGGAAGAATGCTGGGAACTGGACTGGACACCGCCAGGCAGGGACATTCCAGCTCTTTACACAGTGAGGTGAAGGATGGAACGTGGAGAGAGGACCTGGTTTGCAACACCCGCTTTGAGGAAACCCCTTTGGGACGTGAAAGGACAGGTAAAGGCAGTCCCAGAAACCTCCCAAAGGGCAAGCACAAACCGCACAGGTGCCGACTTTTCTTTGTGTCTGTGGGGGGCTCGACCCCTATACTCCACACCTTCCGTCAATGCCACACCCCTGCTCCACCCCCCTGTGTCTCTTCCCACCCCGTTCCGCTCCCTCCCCTGAGCATGCCATGTTCTCGCTCCTCCCCCATCTCCTCCCCAGCCTCCTCCATGCCGCAAAACAGCTGATGGCAGCAGGCAGGAAGTACGAGGAGGGTGGGGCCGGCGGGCGGGCGGGAAGCACTGGGGGGGAAGGGAAGGGGCTGGGAGGGGGGGCTGCCGTTTTTCCCCTGGGGGTGCTCCAGGCTGGAGCACCCACAGAGTCGGCGCCTATGGCAAGCCCAACACAAGGGTTTCCAGGACAATCAGCTAAACAGGGACTGCTGAGGATCAGGCCATAGATGGCGCCAGATGTCCGAGGAAGTGAGCCTCTCCAAATGAGAAATATGCCACTGCTTATATATGGCAGGCCATTGATGTCTCCAGGCTGGGGACTTGACCATGTGCTTTGTAATACATTTGAGTGTGGGCTGCCATATTAAGTCCATAGAAAGACCCTAAAATAATGAGTTCCTGTAAATTCTTCCCATTCATACATTAATCAGTCTGGGGGCTCATCCAGCTGCATCTGTTTCTTTATGTACCTTGTGCTCAAACTCCTTTGACATCACCTGGCTCCTGGGTTGCCAACTCTCTATTTGCAGAAAACCGAACACCCTTGCCCCGCCCCTTTTCTGTGGCCACCCTCCACTCATTCCATCCCCCTCCCTCTGTCACTCACTCTTCCCCACCCTCACTCACTCATTTTCACCCGGCTGGGACAGGGGGTTGAGGTGTGGGGGGGAGGGTGGCGCTGAGGCTCCGTCTGCGGGTATGGGCTCTGAGGTGGGGCTGGGTTTTTGGGTGCAGGAGGGGGCTCTGGGGTGGGGGTGCAGGAGGAGGTGCGGGCTGTGGATGGAACTTACCTCAGACAGCTCCCAGAAAGCTGCTGGCATCTCTCTCCGGCTCCTAAGCAGAGGTGCGACCACGTGGCTCTGCGCACTGCAGGTGCCTGCAGGCACCGCCCCCTCAGCTCCCATTGGCCACAGTTCCTGGCCAATGGGACCAGCTGAGCTGGCGCTGGGAATGGGGGCAGTGCGCAGAGCCCCTGTGGCCGTCCCTCTGCCTAGGAGCCAGAGGGAGATGCCGACAGCTTCCCGGGAGTCGCGCATGCCAGGTAGGGAGCCTGCCTGTACTGCCGACCAGACTTTTAATGGCCCAGTCAGTGGTGCTGACCGGAGCCACCGAGGTCCCTTTTCTACCGGAATTTAAGGGTCGAAAACCGACACCTGGCAACCCTAGGTTACTCCCATTCCTTTGGTCTGATTGCGTGGCACCATAACCTTTAATCTCCAGTGGGTTCTTTTGCTGGTTTCCTCACCACAACAGCTGGGGAAAGGCTGTAACCCGAAGGCTTAGTGTTCCCTCCGGGGTTCCCCTCCAGCCTTTACCTTTCGAGGCCTGCACGCAGGGGCCGGGGCCATATGTTTGACTCCCAGGCTGGAAACGTGGGGGTAACAAGCACGGGGGCTCCTTGCTGATCCTTCGCTGCCCACCAATGGCTGCTAACCGCTCTGGCTCAGTGCAGCACCACGAACGAACAAGGCTGCTGGGAGTTGGCAGCTGGAAGGAGCAAGTTAGTTC